CCCCGCGCGTGTGCCCGGCGGCCGCTCGTGGGTGCGGGCGCGGGGCGGAGGCGGGAGCGGGCGATGGGTGGTGGTGAGCTTTCATTGCGGGCAGAAAAGGGGCTGCGAGAACAGGCGGTAGCGCTCGTGATGGGGACAGCTGGGAAACCCGCTCCGCGGGCGAGCGGCGTCCTTCTGCCTGAGGAGCGGGCCGGGGACGAGGCTTTAAAAACCTCGAACAGCCACCGCGTTTTTCGTTTGCGGTCGTTCTCGTTACCTGACCCGCTAGTGGAAGGTACGCGTGGCAATGGTCATTTTTTCCCGAGTCCGAAAACGCGGTGGGAACCTTTGGGGTATTAAGGCGAGGAAAAATACTCGTCTATTTTTTAGCATTCCCTCCTTTCAGAAGGAACGTTTTCCACCGACACTGAGGTTTTTCCCCTAAATAACTTTATTTCTCCTGAATAACCTTGCTCCCGCCCCTCCCTGACCGAGGCTGCTCTTTGGGAGCTGGATAATGTCCGTGGTTTCCCCAGTCAGAGAGCGATCGAAAATGTGACCCACAAAGCCTCAGTCGTGGTACGGAGACTCTAGACTTCAGTGCTTCCGCCACTGAAAACAGGAATTCCCAGGAAGCAGAAAAGGACAGAGTACAGCTCGGCCGCGTTCAGCACCGGGCAGGGGAAAACTGGTGCATTTAAACGGATTTTGCCCAGGAAGAAAAAGAATAAAGGCATGCGGGAGAACATTATTTTCCCACCAGCGTGTACTGATCGAAATCTAACGACATGCAGAACATACGGCCGAAACTAGTTTCCTAAAAGGGGAAAATACTTTGCTCTTTCCCTGAGAAGCGCATGTGTGTAATAAATACTGACAGCATTCGTGTATACAATAAACACGGGCATCCACTCACGATAAGCATACGGACCAGCTGCCGGCCGCCGGTTCGGCACGGATAAGCCCTGCCCTTGCAGCCCTTCGGAACAAAGGCCACCGGGCGAGTGCCGCAGACGGGCAGCTGCATGAGCCTGCGGAGCTCCCAGCTCCGGTGCAGCCCGGACAGGGCACCAGGGCACCCCAGCCCTTCCCTTCGCCCTGCGGGCACCCGCAAGGAAGGAGGGAGGGCTTGTCCCCAGGGAGGTTTGTCCTCCCCGGGCGGCACCGTCGGGAGAGCGGGGACAAGGAAGCGCATCCCCCGACGGCAGGTATTATTCATCTCAAAAGAGAGCCCGGCTACTGTTTGACTTACAAGCATGACTAAAAGGCAAATACCCAAGGAATTCCATTTTCCCCCTTGGGATCCCTCTTAAAAGGCACAAGCATGACAAAGGACCTGCTAGGTTAGGAAACAGAAGTCGCCTTTGTCTGTAAACCGACACCAAATTACAAAGTACGATTCTGCGGTCCGCTGGAGTAAATTACAAAACAGTTCGCCTCCTGTTTACTTTATCCACAGGGAGCTGTGAAACCCAGCCACGATTTTAAAGCGTGTTTGTGTAACTTTCTTCTGCTCCTGTTGTTTGCGCTCGTTTCCGCAGGGCTTTTGAGCTCCCCTTCAGGCACTCGTCTCTCTCCCGTTTGGAAGAAGAGGTGTCTCTGCCGTCCTCCGGAGGGACGCACCCGCGGGAGAAGTCGGAAAGGGATTTAGGGCGCTGCCTCTGGCACTCGGTCCTCCGCTTTGGTCCGTGGTGTCGGCCGGCTGTGAGCTGGCACGGGCAGATGCGCGCCGTGCCGTGCTGGGAAAGGTGCTGATTTCCACTCGAGAGGAGCCTTTGAAGCCCGCGATGCTCAGCTGTGCATCCACCTGCCCCGCACAGCCTTCCCAGCACAGCTGCCCGCTGGTGCCTGCGGGGCCCGGGCTGCGGAGGTGCTCCGGGGCTCCTTCACAGCCTCCGCCGCGCCCTCTCGCCATTCCCCACCCCCGCCCGCGCCGCCCAAGCCGGGGTGCGGATGTGCCAGACCCCGCTGGGGGCCGGGGATGGGTCCTCAGGCCTCGCAGGCGGCGGCGGGAGCTGTGCCTCTTGCAGCAGGGCCCTTTGCCGAGGGGCGGAGGATCAGCCCCGGGGCTCTGCGCGCTCGCCTCGCCCGAAGGCTAGCGGCTAGCGGGCCCGGCGCGCCCGGCGCTCGGTCCTGCATCGCATCGTGGCTCTGCGGGCAGGTGCAGCTGCAAGTGCCGCAGTCCCCCGCGCCTGGCCTCCCCAGCCCTCCCTTCCCCCGGAGAAATTTATTAGCGAGGTTAGGGCAGGCTAACCAAACGGCAACTCCGGGCGCGATTTCCCCGGAGGAATGCTTTGATCCTGCCCTCTCTCCGCGCCGTCGAGGGCAGATTGTAATGACAAACGCGGGCGACCCCAGCCGCTTGTTAGGTCAGCGATGTTCCCGTTTAATCTGAAACAAATTGCCCCTGTCCGCGCCCCGCCCGCCGGACCCTTCCTTGCCCTGTCCGGGTCCCGCTTATGGATAAGCGCCCTGATCCAGCCCAGGAGCGGCCCGGACCGAAGCGGTTCTCCTCCGCCAGTTACCGCACATTTGCTACAGCGAACTTGTAGACATTTCGAGGGTGATCTCCCCTGCGGGAAGTAGGGGAGTGGGAGAGGGGAAAAGATTTAAAAAAAAAACCCCAAAACCCAACAAACCCAAGCCAAAAACAACACAAGCAACAACAACAGGAAAAAAGACACCCACAAGGATACGGCCTTTTCCCGTGTTATCCAGTTTGTAAAAACCGTCCTTTCTTTTGCAATTTTTTTATAATTAAAATGTGGATTTTACATATATGTATATAAGATCCCCTCTGTCTCTTGTAAATAACATTGAAGTAAAGCTTAGCATTAAAATAAACCTGGGTAACGTTTTTATTCATTACATTTATTCATTACCTTTCTTTAGAAGGTACAATTCTTTGATTGTACCTTGGAACGTTTTGTACCAAGCAAGTTTTTCAGTTTGGGTTTGGGGTTTCTTGGCGTTTTTTTGGGTTTTGTTTTTAGGTGTTTGGGTTTTTTTTTTTGATGTTCTGTTTCAAACGACCATTTAATTGCTGCCTAACAGATATGTAGGTACAGAGCCAGAGGAGGGATTTTCTCTTATTCCTATATGCCAGTCAAATAAATATAATAAATGCATATTATAAGGAGGTAAGAAATATTGAGGTAACATATTCACTATAACACGATATGGAAGAAAATTTTATTGAGCAGTTTTATTGAGTAACACCACTGCCTTTGTAAGAATGTTTGCTTTGGCAAGGAGGACAAGGGTTAGCCTCTTTATAGGAAGAATTGCTTATCGTACCAGGGTAATCTTCTGTCCTACTAAACTGGAATGATATCCAAAGCAGTTTGGGTGAACAGAGCAGAACTCTTCTGACACGGGTGGCTGGAAGTCTGACAGCAGTCCAGAGTCTTCAGTAGAAGGATTCACTTGTACATGGACAGCTTTGGATTGAGCACAGGGTAAAACAGTTTCCCATTTACAATTCTCCTCACCCCGGCAGCTGAAGGGATGAGCTCCCAGGAAGGGAGGGGAATAAACTGTGAAAGAAGCAGTTTAGCCCTCTGTAGCTGGAGGCTCTGCCTGCTCACTGGGAATGTACCAAGGGGGCACAATTTGGCCCATGCCTCTGCAAACAGGACCACACAGTCCCGGTGGTCATTTGATGAAGGAAGAAGATGCACATCTCAGTGAAGCAGGACTGTCTCTTCTGCAGCCTCCAGATTCGTGGCCAGGGGATATGAGGGCAGACCTAGAGTGACTTTAAATCAAAACTAGTCCAAACCTGTCCAAAACATCCAATCCTGTGCTAAAATTTTGAATTAAAAAAAAAAGAGAGAGAGAGGGAAAAAAAGACATGACACACATTTTTGTGTCATTTGTAGCAGCTTCGCTGTGGCTCATAAGCAAGGCTGACCTTTGGTTTGCCAGCCTTTAATAGGCCAGTAGACATTTGGCAGGTCTCTTGCTAAAATGTACTAGAAAGTTGGATCAGCTCTCAGCATAAATATCAAGAATCCACTATGCAAGCAGTAAGCACAGCAAATTGTCAAGTCAGCAACTAATATACTTCGCTATAATCTTCCCAAATGTCTTAAGTAGTTTGGCAAATCTCTTGTTGCAATAAATTCTAGTGAAGTTTCGGGGTTTCTTTTTTCCAACATATGGCTTTAAAAAGTAATTTAGCCAAGAATATTTTTAGAGTCAATGCAAAGTTTGCTGGAGATGTTTTCTCAAAATTTGTTTGCACTCTGGCAGTTTTATTCAAATGTCAACCAGATGCAGAAAGTGTGGAGGTTGGGGTTTTATTTTACAGTCCTGGAAAGTAAAGGTCAAGTCTCTGCAACATAAATTGTCTTTTTGATTGCCATATTTTAGCAGAACAGCAAAAAGTCTTACTAATAAACTGGTTTGTGGTGTTTTGTTTTGTTTTTCCTCCCTCAGGATGCAATATAATCATATGCAAAATATTTTAAATGCCAATAAGACACCTGCTAAATCAAATAAGTTGGGTAGGCTACGCTGCGCTTAGCAGTAAAAATTCAATCATATAACCACAACTAGCCAGATTATAGCATTGCAGTCTCTGAGCAGCCGCACTGAAATTATTAGGATGACCTGAGGTAGCATGAAAAACAGCATCAAAATCTGGCAACATGTCAGTTAAAACAAGACAGACAGACAGACTCAGGCCAAATGATCCATGTGGGTATCTAGGCTGAACTTATTACACTCCAGCTAGCAAGAAAGCTTGTAGAACCATATTGAGATTGGGATACACTAATACAAGTACCAGGCTCTGGCTCAGTGTGGATCCACTGTGGAGTATACAGATGCCTGAGGTGGTGGAGGGAGAAGACGTGAATCTCAGCACTGATAGCATGGCAGAGTGAATGCAAGACAATTGGGGCTCTGAAAATTGGCAGAAAACACACTGGGCTACATAACCACCTGTGACGTTTCCACCAAAGATTTCAGAGGGATTTTACCACCTATCCTTGTGAGAACAAACACTGAAAATCAGACAAGCTTGTGCTGTAACTCCACAGTCAAGGAGCTCAGTCCACACAGCACATGGATACATGGAGGTACTGAGAACTCTCATTCCCATGGTTCTTGAACATCTGTTGGGAAAACAGCAAGAGATGTACTCCCAATACAAGAAAACACAATGCTGGCGTGTCTCAAACTCTTCTCATACTTTAAAGAAAGCATTTATGGGCACAGAGTCCCCTTCCACTAGATTTTAGGTGATGTTTGAGGTAGAAGAGATTTCTGCTACTATACAAATAAAATCAGAGCCCCTTTAAAATTCTTTTTTGGCTAGTACTTCTGCATGTCTTCTGGTTGGCTATTTGAGGCTAGATTCAGCTAGACATGGGGAGAATCTGAGAGAATCAGTAAGCACACAGAGGACAGCAATAGAAATGTGTATCTTTAGGATTCTGTAAACAGAACCCTTTCATTGGGGGTGTTTTAAGTACCCCAAACAGACTGGCACAAGTTTTCAGTACGCCACACTTGGTCTCTACAACATTTCTAATAAGTATTTAGAGAGGGGATGAATATGACTCCTTCCAACCTTTGTCTCAGTGGCTATCATTGGGATCTCTGGTCTGAGGAAGCAGAGAGACAGAGTCCCCAGGCAGATGCAAAAGGAAACTCCTTTATTGCAAAAAAAAAGGGTCTTTTTAAGCAGTTAGGCTTTTATCAGTTACATATTTTTAAAATACAGCATCATCCAACCAACCACCATACACCATGATGTGAACATGTGATGGTTATATAACCCATTTTTTTTCCTCTAATTCAGCTGAGTCACTCCCAGCATCCTTTTCTACTTAGCCAAAGTAACAGGAGTGAGCCATGATTCCACAAGGCCTTCCTTTTGTTTTACCTGTCCGCAACACTGGCTCTTCCCAGAGTCAATACAATGGAGGCCTGACACCATCATCAGCTTCTGAAGGGGGGGGTATTGCCACAGCAGGAGGAGAAGCTGGTGTCCTGGCTGGACACAACACCTACCTGCTAAGGGACATTTAGGACAATCTCTTTTGCTGCTTCTCTCGCCCTGCTATTGGTGCACTCTTGGTTGCGGTGCTAAGGATTTGTTTTGCACACACTCCTACCAGGCAGAGTACGTCTTCCTGATCTTGTGAATTTGTCCCATGGCAGAAGGCAGCTGAACTGAAGTGCCCA